ACTCGTAATATAATATTATTATAAGTTAATAATAATTTTATTTTATTTTTAACTAAAAATAATTAACTATGCAGTCACTACAATTTAAAATAATAGTTTCTATTTTTTAAAATTTTACGTCTACAAATATAAATGACCTAAGCATTATTAAACATCAAAAAAAAATATCAAGTTTGAAAATGGCAGGGTCAAAATTTTGTTGTTCTTATGAGTTAAAATAACTTGAAACAAGGTAACACAAATAGAAAGAATAAAATATTATACTTAGAGGAAAACTTAAGTTTTTTATAACACAATGAGTCATTTTCCACCACTAGAACATTTTTTTCTATTTTTCTTTAGTTTTTGTTACATATAATGATTGAAACTAAAAAAAATTATAACTAGTAGATCCCATTTCTTTTCTCTCCTTGTCTTTTTTTTTTTTTCATAAAAATAGATTTTTTCACAGACTAAAAAGACAATAAAATTTGCAGAACGGATTTATTCTGGTGAAAAGAAGTAATCTTCAATAATAAAAGATAGACAATCTCTCCCATGATTTCAAACAAGAAAAGTTTCTATGACGAACAATCATTCATGAAAATAGAACAAAAAAAGGATTAAGATCACTTTTGGAGTGGTGAAAAACCTTTTGGTCTCTTCTCCAATGAGCAACTATCGTTTCTTCTACAACGAAAACTATATTGTCATCGAGCTCAAACCCTCAGCTTCATTCTGACATAGCTCTACCGCTATCTGCGTCAAGGTCAATTGTCTCCTTCTCGTTGTTGCAGTCATGCTTAGGATTAGAGTTGTGGACGCTGGAATTGTTGCCACTTTAGTCTCAGATCAAAGATAAAGCTTCACCGGACCAACAATGGAAAAGTTTTGATTATTTGCATATCTGGTCCTCTAACTCTTGTTTATTCTCTTTGTTGTCTCAAAATTCTATTATGTTCATGAATGTTTCTTGAAATTTTTAATTGTGCAATCCAGACCAAGCGTATGTTCTAATTTTGCAACATTGGTCTATGCCGTTTTCTTTTGTTTAGGCTCCAGATGTTTTTGATTTGCAAATAAATTGTTTTGATTTAGTCTCATAATTTATATGTTCACAATGATAAATTGTCTATGCTACTTTGTACACAAAACATCATTGATGTTGTCCATAATAGAAGCAAACATAAGACTCCAAAAGAATATCAATGATTTTGAGTGTCCATGTAGACACTACCTATTATGGATGACTGGTATAAATGATTTAAACAAAATGTCAAATTTTCATTTTTACCTCATATCATATCTACATCTACTATACATGTATATAACTTGAAATATTGATAGTTTAATACAAATATATATACCTTCAAACATAGATAGTTTGATAAGTTGTACACATAGATAAATATACAACATAGTACACGTGTACACACCTCTTTGTGTACACCACCACATAGTACACCTTTCTTGTACACAAATCAAAATCCATCAATAGGAAAAATATCACTTACAAACAAAAGTCATGCTTAATTTTATATATATATATATATATATATATTTCAATACTAATCTGCATAAAGTGGGAGTTCAATTTCTCATTTGAAATAACTGTGCAAAATTGGAAGTTTTAAGATTGAATTGTAAATTTCTAAAGATAAAAGACCAGTCGTACAAATATCAGAAACGTGATTTGGGAATGAATCCTTTCGTACATGTATACTAGAATTATGTACACATAAAATATCTTTGTTTACACAAACATGAAATACACAGAATAAAATATTAATGCAATACAATTATTATTTTCGAGCAACTATAATAAAAACTGTTCAAACCATCATCATAACTTGAGCAATGTAAGACACATTGCTAAAGTTATGATGATGGTTTGAACAACAGTTTTTATTATAGTTGCTCGAAAATATGTTAGACAAGAAATCAAAGACACACTTGGGATTCATAACGAAGGAGGAATGAGAAATTACTTAGGAACCCCCGAAGATATCAGCGGATCTAAATGTAAGCTCTTTGCTTTCCTCAAGGATAAGTTGAGGGGTATGGTTAATGGCTGGACGGGACGGTGGTTATCTAAAGGTGGCAAGGAGGTCATGATTAAGTCGATACTGTTGGCGCTGCCGACATATGTAATGTCTTGCTTTCTCCTTCCACTTGAGATTTGTGATGCCCTTGCTAGTGCCATTGCACAGTTTTGGTGGAGTTCGAACCCTCCAAAAAGGGGTATTCACTGGTCAACATGGGACAAAGTATGTCTACCCAGAGAGGAGGGATGAATTGGGTTTAGGATGATTCATGAGTTTAACCTGGCGCTACTAGCTAAACAGTTATGGAGATTGGTGCAATTCCCGGATTCCCTGGTAGCTAGAGTTTTAAGGGGCCGATATTATCGATTGAGTACGCCTTTGCGTAAGCTTTCTGTTAGCAGCTCATCATATGTGTCGACAAGCATGTCATCAGCACGGGAGTTACTTTTATTGGGTGTTAGACAGAAGGTTCACTCGGGATATGAGGTCAAAGTATGGGAGGATCCTTGGATCCCTACCATTCCAGCGAAACCTGCGTCCCCATCCGTTCCAGTTTTATTTCCAAATATGCGTGTGAGTGACCTTATTAATCACGATACAAAGACTTGGGATGTGGGATGACTCGAGAACTAAGTAGACGAAGCACATATACCTCTCATAAGGAGTATGGTTATTAGTACAACTCATCGGCGGGATTCTTATTGCTGGAGCTACACCAGAAATGGACAATATACGGTAAAATCAGGGTATTGGGTAGCACAGCACTTATTGACAAAGGAGGAGGATGGTGTAGTCTGTGAACCAAGTATTACAAAGCTTCAAACACATGCTTGGAAGATCAAGGCCCCCCCAGAAGATGTGCCATCTTATGTGGAAAATTATAACGGGGCATATGGCTGTTACAAGCACTCTTAATCATCGAGATATGAGATGTGATAATTATTGTCCATGGTGTGGGGAGCCAGAGGAGCCAATAACCCATGCAATCTATCTATGTCCACCTGCTATGCAAGTATGGGCATTATCATCTACGCCTACCAATCCTTCTATGTTCCCATTACATAGCACATATTCTAATATGTATTATCTTTTCTGGAGGAAAAACGCGTTATTGGAACCGGAATTAGACAGGGATCCTTATCCATAGCTAATCTGATACATATGGAAAGCCAGAAATGATAAACTCTTCAGAGGAATCGATAGGGATCCCTTAGAGCTAGCTCGATATGCTGACAGTGAGTGTCAAGCATGGTATATTGACATCTCAAGGAAATATAGATATGGATAGCCAGATCTTAAGTCTGGGGGATATTTGTTTGGTTGATGGTTCGTGGACCTCTTCTTCGCAATTTAGTGGCTGTGGTTGGGTATGGAATGACAATACGGGAAATAGTCAATCGATGGGGATGCGGAATTAACACATGATGGAGTCGGCTTTGCACTCTGAGCTGGAAGCACTGCGGTGGGCAATGGAGAATATGCTTGAACATTCGCCATGTCAGAGCTTTGGGACAGACTGCAAGGATGTGATAGCGATGCTCAGAAGTCCTAAGGATTGGCCAAGCTTCTCAACAGAATTGGAAAAGATATCCACGCTGCGGATCTGTTTGCAAGAGTTCAAGTTGCTTTATGTTCCTAGGTCACAAAATGTAGTTGCTGATTCGTTAGCTAAAACTGCTCGATCCTTTCATCGAGAACTTTTGTTTGTTGGTTGTTCTATTCCGGTCTGGATTCTCAGACCACCTCAAGCTTGAGTAATAGATCAGCCGTTTGTTGCCAAAAAAAAAAACTTGAGCAATGTACATATATATTGGTGTCTATATTTCTTCGTAAACTGGTACCACTACAAGAAAAAAATTATTTTTTTAGTGTAAGAAAAAATGCTATTATACGTTATTGTTATCCTTATTGAGACCGATATGTCTGTCCAAATTATCTTAGAGCATCTCCAATGGTGTATTATCATTGGAGTCTTTTAAAAAATGTTTTTGATTTTTTAATTTTTTTCTTCAGATTAACAAAAAAGAAATATCAACCAATCGCGGGCCGTCACGTGTCGTGCAGGCAGTGCAAGAATTCTCTAGGAAAAGTCTTTATATAGAAATTTTAAGAATTGAATACTTAATTTTTGTAGAATCCACAAATTATTTAGGGTCCGATTGTGTCTGACTTTCAAGACTGTTACTGTTAGGACTTTTAATTTTAGTTTGGCTGTTAAAACTTTTAAATTTAAAAATTAACTTGGCTTTAGAAATACTTAAAAGCCTGAAATTGTGGCTTTGAAAATATAAGTCACGTTAAAGAGTAAAATTAGTTATTTTGGCTGTGAGATTCTTTAGGAAGGCTTTTAGGACTTTAGAAAGTTTAAAGTCTGATTGGAATAAATTTGGTTTTACAGACTTTACGAATAATTTAAAGTCTCCAAAATCTCTACAGCTAAACCAACAATCGGACCCTTAATTATTTTAAATTCTCCTTACAAAGTCTCATTGCAGATGCTTTTAGAACATCTCTATTAAGGGACTATAAGGGAAGATAAGTGGGGATCATACGTTTTTCAAGACAAAAAAGTGGTGAATCCGCGTTGCATGAACTCGCTGTGGTGATACCGGATCTTTCACCACGTGGCAAGCCATGATTTGTATTTTTTTTTCCAAAGTCAAACAAAGAAAAAAAGGTAAAAAAGTGATTTCGGGGATGGTACCCATTGAAATCCCTGATGGAGATGGCCTTAGATCTACCCTCTGTTATAGCAATTTTCTTAGTGCTACCGATTATGGAAGATATGATAGCATTTGCTATTTCGCATTTATAAAAAATGTTCATTAATTTCTAATACAATTGGTTTGAGAAAAACATGTTTATTATTAATATTTTGGTTTACAAATCATAGTCGGTTATCAACACTGGTTTAGACACAAACCCGGTTTAGAAATCTAAACCTAAAAAAGCTTAACCTACCAAAAAAAATTAACCCTAATTTGTTTCTTCAGCCGCCGTGACACACGAGCAAAACTGTCTCCGGCGAGAGACATCACGGAGGAGAGGAGCCGTCGCGGAGCAGACTAGGAGAGTAGCCGTCGCGGAGCAGAAGAGGAGAGTAGCCGTCGCGGAGAAAACGAGGAGAGGAGCTGTCGCGTAGCAAACGAGGAGAGGAGCAGACACGGAGAGGAGGCGTGACGGAGCATAGGAGGAGAGAAGGAAAGAGACGTCAGAGAAGTAGTGGATGAGAGAGTCGTCGCGGAGCAGAGGAGAGAGTCGTCGCGGAGCAGAGGAGAGAGTCGTCGCGGAGCAGAGGAGAGAGACGTCACGTAGGACTGTCACGGAGTAGATGCGTCGTCATTGACGATATCGGTGGCGGCTTCACTAGCTTTTCTCCAGTTGGTTGTTGGCAAGAAAAAAATGATAGAGCTAGATACAGAGGAAGAGATTGAGACATCAGACATAGATGAAAGCTGAGATTCGTGAGAGAGAAAGAAAAAAACAAAAAGAAAGAGATAGAGAAGAGGAGAGTGAGATGAAGACACGTATGAGGGAGAGAGATGATGAAACACACTTTAACCAATTCTGGACCATTGGATTACAATTAATCAGTGGAGAAAAATATTAATTCTAATTTTGACTGATGGACCAATAAGAAAGAGGAAAAAGATCACAAGAGTGATTTTGGATCTTTGGATCAAAATTCAAAATAAATCAAATTCAAAATAAATCAAAGGCAACAAAAAAAAAAAAAATTTATTGTTAAGTATGAAGTATATATATTTTTTTTTGTTTTAAGGTTTGAAGTAGGAGGTTTTGAATAAAGAATAACTTTTATGATATAGAGTTTTAAAGTTTGAAGTAAGGTGTTTGGAGAATATTATATTTGAAATTCAATTTATGAGTTAAATATATGGCATTTGGAGTTAGGGTAAGATTTGAGTTTATTTTTTGAAAATAATAAACTGATAGTTTATATTAAGGTTTGAATATTAGATTAATATTTAGATTATGATTTTGATTTAAAGTTAAAGTTAAGATTTTGAGATTTAAATTAGAAATAATTAAATTTTAAATTATGATTTGGAACTAAAGTATGACAATAGAGGTGTTGATACAATCGTTAGTGTTTATTTTATAATTTGGAATATAAATTTTTGGGTATAGGATTTAAGTTTTTTTTTTTGTGTTTTGGAAGTGAAAGATTAAGATTACAAGGAATAACTTTGAATTTAAGTTTTTTTACCAAAAAAAAACTTTGAGTTTAAGTTTACAATTTCAGGTTTTGGAATGTCAAAATTTAGAGTTTAAAGATTTATGTTTAGAGTTTAAGGTTTCCAACATGTTTAGGGTTTTAATTTTCAAAGATTAAAAATTGAATTTTCATATCAGTTTTCAAAATAATGCTATCATAACGTGTTATCGAAGAAATAGAAAAAAAAATATCTTGGCTCGAGTCTAAGTTTCACTTAAATTTTGACTCTATTAGTGAGTTATCCTTCCCGCTAACTAATTTTACACTACAACATTAATAAACTACTATTAATGTGCTATATATCACTATTAATGTACTATTAATAAAAACTTTCTAAAAAATTGATTTTTCATAGCAGTAGAAAACATCGCTATAATAATGTGCTATCAATATCACTTTTTGTAGTGTACTGCTCTAAGTTGAAAGATCTATTTATTTAATGTTTAATGTTTATATATACGAGAGAATCCGGGTTCTGCACCAATCTCCATAGTTGCTTTGCTAATAACGCAAGGTTAAACTCATGGATCATCCTAAAGCCAATTCCGCCTTTTTCTTTAGGTAAGCATAATTTGTCCCATGTCGACCAATGCATACCCCTCTTTGGTGGATTTGAGCTCCACCAAAACTGTGCAATGGCACTAGATAAATTCTCACAGATCTCCAATGGAAGAATGAAACAAGACATTACATACGTCGGAAGAGCTAGTAGGATTGATTTTATCATAACTTCTTTCCCGCCTTTAGAAAGCCATCTACCAGTCCATCCATTTACTCTACTTCTCAGCTTGTCCTTGAGAAAAGCAAATAGTTTAACTTTAGACCCACTGATATCCTCAGATATGCCTAGATATGATCCCATGCCTCCTTCATTTTGGATCTCAAGTGTGTCTTTGATCTCTTGTCTCATCTCCAGTCCAATTCTTTTACCAAAGAGTAAAGAAGACTTATCAAATTAATGCATTGTCCTGAAGCTTTTCCATATACCTTGACCACTTTCATCACTTCTTCACATTCACGGGGCTCCGCCTTACAGAAAAACAGACTATCCTCAGCAAAGAGAAGATGAGATACCGAGGGGCACGCACGCGTGATGCGCATCCCCGTTATCTTTCCTTGTCTCTCTGCTTGATTTAGAAGGCTAACGAGCGCTTCCGTGCACAGAATAAAAAAGAAAGGGGACAGAGGATCTCCCTACCGTAAACCTCTCTCCGGAACAATATTTCCTCTTGGCTGTCCATTCATGAGGACTTTGTACTTAACCGACCTTACGCATCTCATTATCATAGAAATCCAGACTTCATAAAAACCCATTTTTCTCGTGGTGGCCTCAATGAAGGACCATTCCATCCTATCATATGCCTTGCTCATGTCTGTTTTGATAGCCATCCTCTTATTTCGTCCGCTTGGTTTTGTCCTTAGAGCGTGGAACATCTCCTGAGCTATCATAATGTTATCAGAAATCTGTCTCCCAGCAACAAAGGCTGACTGGGTCTCTGAGATCCTATCGGGAAGAAACTTTTTCAATCTCTGGCATAAGACCTTAGATATAATCTTATAGCTAACATTACATAAGCTAATAAGGCGTAGCTGGCTCATCTGATTCGGTTTCTCCACTTTTGGGATGAGGCATATATTAGTATCATTTAATCCAGATGGTACCGTACCCTCAAATAGGAATTGATTCACCATACGAGTTAAATCCTCCTTTACAATATCCCATAATTTTTGGTAAAAAAACGCCGTCATTCCATCTGGACCTGGGGCTTTCTCTGGGTGCATCGCAAAAAGAGCCAATTTGACCTCCCATTCAGTGATCGGAGCTGTCAAAGTTGCATTATCTGTTAAGGAAATTGTGGTAGATACTTCTGAGAGTGCCTCCTCAATCTCCTCCGGATTTGATGATTGAAAGATGTGTCTAAAGTAATTTGTAGCAATGGCTACCAATCCTTCCTCATCTTCCACAACATGTCCATCTTCATCCAGTAATTGGGTGATCTTATTCCTCGCTCTCCGTTGCTTCGTTAGGGAATGAAAAAACTTGGTATTCCTATCTCCTTCTCTCAGCCAGAAAACTCTACACTTTTGCTTCCAGAATAATTCTTCCGCCTTATGAGCGTCAGATAATTCCTTAATAGCTGCCGTAATTTCCTTAGTAGTAGCATCATCATTTGAAGATAGACGATCTACCTTTTCCTTAAGCTCCTCCACTGTTTTCTCTGAATTCAGATTATGCTACTTTTTCCATTCACTCAATGCTCGTCGGCAGCTCGCAATATGATCCATTATGCTTGCGCCTGGCGGGAGATCTGGTGACTTCCATCCCTCAAGTATAATTTCTCTGAGCTCCTCATTGTTCAACCATCTCTTATCGAACTTGAAATTTCTAGCTCTCCTAGGTTTCTTTCTCAGTATGTCAGCTAGAATCGGACGATGATCCGATCCCCAGAGTCTCATATACTTCACTTTGGAATGAGGAAATTTCTCATGCCAGTCCTCATTTCCCACAGCCCTATCAAGGTGGCATCTAACTGTCGTCCTCCCTGCCCTATTTCCAACCCAAGATAGCATGTTCCCCGTGAAGGGAAACTCCAACATACCACAATCACTTAACATTTGCCTGAAGGGCAAAAAGAAACTATCAGGGCGCTGTCTACCTCCTTCCTTCTCTTCATGACAGGTGATTTCATTAAAATCCCCTATCATAAACCAAGGTCCATTTCTTGTTGTTGAGAAACGCGTAAGACGTTCCTAAACTAAATCTCGTCTTTCTAAAACAGGGTCCCCATAAAAAAATGTCATGAAGACTTCTATTCCATCAATGACTGCCTCAATGTCAATCATTCTGCTATTTGAAAATAAAACATTAACTTGAAATTCATCCATAGAAAATAAAGCTAAACCTCCGCTGAGGCCAAGTGGCTCAACGGTAAATAAACGATCAAATCCTAAGTGTCCTGAATGTCTTGCAACAGCAGCCTCCTATTCTTCGTCTCAGAAAGAAACACAAGTCCTGGGCGATGCTTCTGACACATCTCCGTAAGGCGTCGAACTGTGAGGTCATTTCCAATCCCTCGACAGTTCCAACTGAGTGTCCTCATGGATTAGCTTTTGATGGGTATTTGAAACCCATCAAAACCTCTATTTTACTTGAAACACGCCCATCTTTCTTCCCCATCTGCCTGCTGCTCGTATTCTTCCCACTGCCTCTTGGCCCAGGGGATTTCGCTGCCAATGAACGTGGTGATCCCCGACGAAGAAACTCAGTTTTCTTGCTTTGAATGCCCAAAGGGACATTCATCCTCGATGGCTTGTGAACAGCCCGGCGAGACGTGGAGCTCTCTAACACTGATCCAACTCTAGTCTCTTCCATTTCCTTAAGTTCTTCCCCCAACAAATCAAAATCTTGACCCTCGCTTTCCAGGAGTCGACCTACAGATTGCTCCTCGGTATCCTCATCATGCAGAGCTTCTATCATTTGATCGTTTTCCAAACAATTATCTTCAACGTGAAGACTCCTTGGTGAAAAAGTTAAGGCTCTAGTTGCCCCTTTCTCTCGAATGGTGATGTTTCCCTCGTGCACGTGAGCGGTGCCAGTTGGGGAAACAATAGCACTCGCAAGCCTTCTCACCGAGGTACTCGCCTTTCCCTTATCCATGGCACTGCAAGTTGAAGTTGTCGTACCAAGTGCAACGGCACCTGAGCCAGCCGGTTGCGCATATGGCGCAATCCTATCAACTCCACGAAGTGTAGAAGAACCTTCCCTTTCTTCTCCCGATACTCCATCCCTTGATTTCTCACGCCAGATGTGATCTTGCTGTCTCTTGTATGGGCCTGTCCTGTATCGTATATCTCCTTGTCGATACGTTTTACGATCCTCCCGGTATCGCATGACCCTGTCCCTGTTAGTATTTAATTGTTGTCCATATCTATTTCATCGAGCGTCATAGTCATCATGGTTTCTCTGTCCATATCGATACGGAGAAGTAGAATGGTGAGAAGTCCTATTCTTGCTGGAGCCATCGCTTCTAACATTCTTTTCCTGTCTCGGGCGGATGGACTGATCTTGAGGCGCTTTCACCCGCGAGAATACATCTCCACGCCCAACTTTAGTGCTATCCCGTGGTTCGTCCAAACATTGGCCTTTCTTATATGACATAAGACCACATGTGGTGCAATGTTTGAACAAGAGCTCATATTTAATTTCAATGGAAACCTCATCTCCCTCAGGTGATTGTACTTGTCTTTTGAACTTCAATGGCTTCCTAGAATCCACAAAAATTAGCATGCGTCCTTCTGTTAACTCGATCGTATCAACTTCTCCAATCCTACCACCTATGTTTCTCAAATTCTTGCCTGTCCAGAGATGCAAAGGCATCCCGACAATCGATACCCAGAATGGAATAATCCATGGATATTCATCATGCACTATAGGCTCCCAAAGCACTAGCACGAACATATAGTAGTTGAAGTGAAAAGGTCCTTGGCGCAAGACGTGGTTGAGATCTTCCTCAGAGGCAAAGTTAAAGAGAAACTTCCCATTCCCCAAGTCATTAGCAGTAATCCGATCTTGTACAACCCATTGGGAAGGCATCTTCTCTATCAACTTAATGACATTTTGCTTCCTAGGGTTTAGAACTTTTCCGATCAAAGACATACGGTGTTCCTTGATTACAAAGGAATCGTCTTGATCAAATAGCTTAATTGGAGAGTCATCATCCGCATAAAGAGTCCCCTTGCCCTTGATGTCCTTCTCGTGGACAGATCGTGGACAATTTAAGGTTCCCATACTTATGATATGGTTTTCTGTTATCCTTTATGCTTTCGTTGCAGAGAAGCAATGGCGAGAAAACACAAAACCGGAGTGATGCAGAGCAAAGGTCTGCTGTGAGCGATGATAAACAAAACGGATCCGCCAACGTGATCGGATGAAGTCGACGAGAAGGCAAAATACTCCACAGAGAAAGCAACGTCACGGTGATGATGATTGTGAAAATCACAATCGAAACAACACAAAGCAGGCAGAGGAACAGATGACTAGGGTCGATCTGCTGTGTAGGGCTGCGTGATCACCAAGGGGTGATCAAACAGGGTCGTCGTCTTTTTCGTCCTTCAAGTCGCTCTATAATATGGTGGTGTAGTTATATGGTGGTGTTTTATTTTTGTAGCTAATAACTACACATATAGAAAAATATAATAATATTATATCAGATCCGTTTAAGATCATTTCCTCCACTGGGAAGCGAAACAAATGTGATACGCACACCTGGTTCTACTTTAGCCATCCACTCTGTATGCCCTTCATCATCTAGCACATCACAAGATTGAGCCGAGATAGATTCCTGGTCATTTCCATAGATTGAAGTGAATTTTGTCTTGACCGCCTGGCTGGATGGTGAGAGGAGTTTGTTAAGTCTCAAGCATGAGTTGAGCCCGCGCTTCCACCCATGTAAAGGTACGGAATACCTTCAGAAGAATTTTCAAAATTTGGGAACGGTCTATGTAACAACCCGGGCCCGGCCCAAGAGGAAACTCATTTGCAGGAGGCCCAATAAGAGGGAACCCTAGGTCAAACCCCACCCCCCACCTTATAAAAGGAGTTACCTCCCTAGGGTTAAGACACAAGAGAAACATCAAGCGAAGCCCTGCCAAAGCAAGACCCCGCCGCCGCCAGTAGTCGCCGTGTGAGAAGCCCTAGCCGCCGGACCTGAGCTCCGAGTCGCCGTCTGCACGATTCTGTAGTGTATAACCACCTATGATCTGATTGTAAGGTAAGGTCTGGAACCCTAATCCCTTTTCATACCAAGGATGTCAGATCTGAATCCTAAACCCCTTCTTCTTTGCTCTCTTGTGTCGAAGAACACAGATCTGTGTTGCTGACCTCCTTCTCCTTTTCCAGATCCAGATCTACGTCACCAAACAAGCTAAGGTGAGGACTTGGTTGTGAACTTGTCTCATGTTGAGTAATCCATTGAGTCGTAGTCTTTTGTTTACTAGATATAGATCTTGTTGTGTGGATGATGTGAAGTGTGATAGATCTAGGTTTGATGAGATGTGTGACTTGTGGTAACTGTGATGAACACCTAGAAGTGTTAGGTTGATGAGGAACTGTAATGAAAGTATTATATATGATTGAGTATGAGTATGAGTATGAGTATGAGTATGAGTATGAGTATGAGTATGAGTATGAGTATGAGTATGAGTATG